TAATGGGGTTTTAGAAACGAACCTTAAGCTGGGCTTGGGCGGCATCGAAGAGGCGTCTGGATCTCTCAGCATCAATGGCTTCTCTTTGCTTCTTAGCTTCTTCTTTACCCTTTCTCTCCCTTTCCAATTTCTTCCTCGCCGTCTCTTTCCTCTCCTTCTGCTCCTTGTCCAGCTTCTCTCTCGCTCTCCTCAGCTCAAAATCCATCTCTCTCTCTCTCTCTCTTTGCTTTTCTGGTTTGTGTGGCTTTGCTCGTATTCGGAAGGTTTTTGTTCTCAAAAATCAGAGTCCCAGTTCGTGTTGGTTAAGAAGAACACACAGAATAGGAAAAGAAATTGGTTTTCCTCTTATGTTGGAATTGTGTATTTTGTTGGTTCCACGAATTTTCTTTCACATGGATTTATTCCAGAAGGATCTGGGCCCTTCCTTTTGGAAGACCATTTGACTACTTCATGGGCCACCAAGCCCAAAGCATAATATTTATATATATAAAAAAACCCAAAACCAATTTCAATTGCTCTTATGTTCTTTTATTTTACTTTTTATTTTAGGCTTTTTCAGGTGGTGATGGTAAGGTTCGTTTAGGTTCATGGGTTGTTTTAGGTTTTTTGTTATGTTAGGTTTGTTGGTTTTATTTGAGCTTATGATTAATTGTGATTGGAGAAAATTATATTTTTTGTCACTGGAATTATGGTCGAATTTAATTTTGGTCACCAAAATTTCAGTTTCTGATTTTGGTCACTGCATTTACAATTGTTAGCAAATCAAGACAAATGTTTCAATTTCGTAAGTTTCATTAATTTAAAAATATTAAATATAATTACTCTAAACCCTTGAAAAAAACACAAACACTCGCGACAGAGAACAACCCCAATCTCCTTGGCGTCATCTGCACAAGTCCAAGGTTCATGAGAATTGGGGGTTTCGAATTTGTTTACTAAAATCTACAAAGATTTAGGATTTTCAACTTTGATTTTGGTGAAAAATCGATTGATTCTGAGGTTTTCAATTTATATATTGGTGAGGAATCAAGAGAAGATGGCATGGAGACGAAGAGAACTTGGTAGACGAAGAGAACTTGTTGTAATAGTGTAGTTAAGTTTATGTCAAATAGGTCTTGAAACATTTTGGACAGAAACTTGTCATGTCTTTGGTTGTATTAATGCTACTTTATTTTGTTAGGCTTAGATGAAGCCACATAGTCACTCTTACATGTGTGGCGTTCCTAGTTTTGGCTGTGTGATATAATCAGCCTTGACTTCTCATATAGCAAGTGTGCTCAAGAAGCTAGAGAGAACAAATTTTCTCCCATATCACATTTCTGGATTTTCTAGCTTGAGATTGATCTCACAGATCACATGAAGATATCTCAAAATCCAACAACTCCAACAATCAAGCCTACAAGAATTTAGGCTGTGTTTGGTACGCATCACTAGACTGAATTGACTTAAATAACACTAAAAACCCATATTTAGTAAGAAAGAGGGGACTAACTTCAACGAGATTATATAGTCCATCAATGAAAAAGACATTTCACTCGCTCCTTTAACATAGCGACATTGAAAAGTGGTTCGCAAAACAGCGAACTCGCTAAATAGAACATGCAAGTCTGAACTACACCAATTTCTTCTTCTTCTTCACCTAGAACTGGATTTTCTGGTTTTGTGTTTTCAATAAACCATATTGACAACAAAAACCATACCTAATTAAACACCCATCACCACCCAACTCACTGCATAACCCAGAAACTTGACGTCTCCACCTCCCCTGCACAACCACAACATCCCCTGCACAACTGACTATGAGCAATCCAATAGGACCCCATCATCATCATAATCATCCCCATCTTGTTCGTTTTGTTGATGTGGGTCAGAATCTAATGGCCCTAATTAGGGGCAAAGTGGGGTGATAGGGAGGAGAAGAGGCATGATTGTGTGTGTGTGGACACTGGTGGACCCAGAAATTTTTGAGCGGAGGTGCAATATTGACTAAGTATGAAAATGGTTTTTCGGAATAATCATTTTCTCAAGATAATTTTTGGCGGCTTTTATTCCTTATACATCAAATAAGAAAACTTGAATTTATGGGATTTTAGTATGAAGTATATATTGACTTAATGAGCCATCATTTTTAGCTTAAATTGTATTTTGCACTAAAACCGAATTTTCATATTTTGATTTGGTGGGAATTTGATTTTCTAGTATTTTTATTTGAATCCAAATGGGGGGTACTTCCTTATTTACATTGTAAACTTAAGTAAATGGAGTAATATAAAAATAAATAAAAGTAAAAAGACAAAGACATTTACTTAAATGTTGAAAATGGAAATAAGGTAATCTGTACACCAGTTGAGTAAAGGGGCAATTTGAAGCACCTACAATAGTTTTTCCGGCGAAAGGAGGTGCAGCTGCACCTCCTTGCGCCTTAATAGATCCGCCT